AGGGTGCCGTCGGCCAAGCAGTGTCGGCTGGCGACCCCCAGGGGGAGGGCCTTCTCTGTGGGTGCCCCTACCCTCTGGAATGAACTACCCCCCGAGATTCGGATAATTCCGGATCTCCTTACTTTCCGTCGCGCCCTCAAGACATGGCTCTTTCAGCAAGCGGACCTGACCTAGGGTGGATTTTATATTGGGTTTTTTTTAGGAATTTGGAAGTCACAACATTAAAATTTGGTTTAATTCGGTTTTAAGGGGGGGATTGTATACAAGTTTTGGTTTTAAATATGTTGTGCGCCGCCCTGAGTCCCGCCGGGAGAAGGGCGGCATATAAATTAAATTAAATAAATAAATAAATAAAATAAATAAATAAAATAGTTACTGCTAAAGTACTGTAAGATTTACACAAAGTAAATGTGGTTGAAGGAAAATAGAAAAGCTGTACCAAAATAATTTACACACAGGATTGTAGAATGATAAATACATTTATAGTCTATTCAGGAACAATTTCACTTGAAATTGTTGAAATTTACACATGATAGGCGGTAAATTATTTGTAAATAAGAACAATGGATGTGCAAGGTATAGATGAAATGCTAACTGCAGGCATTGAGGCCTCTAAAGTGACAAAGTGACAAAAATGCCAAGTATAGAGCAAGAAAATATAACCTGGAGTAACTTGAAAATTGGAAAAAATCAGTCAACTTATCTATGCCAAATGAAAAGATGCAAGACAGTGCGCAGATTCGCGAATCATTGCACACTTTCCTAATGCAAGCAAACTTTAGATTAAAGTCTTATAAAAATAAAAAATAAAACTACATATGGAAAGAAAAAGGCAAAATGAAGATGCAGAGGAATAAGACATCAGATGACTAGCGTAAGATGAATAATGGAGAGAAAGGGAGAGAAGATTATAATGTAATATATATATATCAGTGATGGTGAACCTTTTAGAGACCGAGTGCCCAAAAACTGGCCCCGCCCCTGCTCCAACCCCTGCCCCGCCCCCACCCTGCCTGTCCACAGGGCCACTCACCACCTCCAGGGCCCACCGCAGATCACACAGGCAGCCCAGCAGCGCCATGGCGGCCACGCCCTCTGCCCGCACCTCGCAGCAGCAATTGTGCACGATGGGGCGTGAGGGCAGAGTCTTGTCTACGCTGCCTGGCTGCCATGTCCTTGGCTGTGCTGCTCCGTGTGGGCCACGCTCGGGGGCAACTCTCATCCAGGGGGGCTGCTGGTGAGTAGGGGAGCATGGGGGGAGACAAGGCTGGGGCAATGGCACGTGTGCCCAGAGAGAGGGCTCCGAGTGCCACCTCTGGCACGCGTGCCATAGGTTCACTACTACTGATATATATAATATATTCTGATGGACTGCTTGCAGATTGGTATTTTACCAGTGAGGTTAAAGTGAATGAGTATGGTATAGTAAAATTGAGTACATGGTATGTAACCCTCTTTAATGGTATTTTCTAGGGTGGACAGACTGCCTTAATTTTGGGAGTGAGCCATGATAGAGAAGATATGGTGAAAGCATTGCTGTCATGCAGTGCCGAGATAAATCTTCAGGATGAAGATGGCTTATCACCATTAATGGTGGCTTCTCAACATGGTAATTTGGAGATGGTGAAACTTCTTTTATCTCATTCTGGCTGTGATCCTACATTAGTGGACAAGGTGAGAAAAATAAGATCTTCCCCACATATTTTGGACTACATGCTCCATATGAGTTCTCACTTACAAAATTATTTGGACTAGGGCTGTTTCCATAATGACAGCTCTTTGAAGGGGTGCCCAGTTGGATGAAATTTGTTAGGCAGGCAAAAAACATTTCATGCTTTTGATTTAATAAAAGTGTGGTTATTTTAAAAGATCTAGCGTGGAGGTCTTTTTGGCTTAAGATTATCCGAGTTTTAACAAGTGTTCTAAACATGGCATTATTGGCAATCTGTTAATATTTACAATTTTTTTTACAGAGAACAGATATTGCTATATTTTCACAATATTATATTGTGTGCTTTTTAAAGCTGTTTGCTTGCTTATTTTGGTGTCAATTATAAAACTAAAAACAAATTAAAAAGATCCTTCAGTTTCAGCCATATTGAAAAATAAGCTTGCCAGATATTAACCCCAGCAAATTTCAGTTTAAGAGTTTAGGAACCACTAATATGGATGGGGTTTTTTTTTCTTCAGAATGCAGACATAGAAATCTATATTATGCAGATAAATCTGCTCTTGATTTGACTGTTAAATCCTTTAAAAGGGAGTACATGGTAAGGGGTATAGTTCTTAAAAGTAATTATTTTACTCAGTCACAGATTGGCATGAGTTTGTGTGGTTATAATACCTATAAACACCATAATTTTATGTGCACCAGTAATTTAAATCACATGGTGTAATGGCAGCATGATGGAGTAAAACAGGCATGCCAGCAAACAATTTTTATAGTATCTATAGATTAAAAATTCATGATATAGCAAGATTGAGTATGTAGATACATGCTTTGAAATACAGATTGCAAACTAAAATTCTTCATGCCTGGTTCCCTACTGGCAGAGCAAAGTAATACCCTTGCTAATTTCCCCTGCAATCTGAACCAAATTTAAGAATCTTTAAAATGACAATATAGATGATGTATATAGAACACTCAGCAAATACAATGAAAAGCTTTGTGAATAATTATTCATATAATTAAACATAGAAATGAATCAAAAGATTATCTAACATTTTACTATTGGACCTTGCTGGCTTCCATGTTCTCATACATTATGTTGAGTAACTCTTCGTTTTACTCACAGCAAAAAATTGGTTTACCTAGCTATTGATGGAATGTCAGTCTAGATTCTTTAAAATGTATTAATCAGAACTTATTAAATAACCTCCATAAAACTGATCCTCAGTTTTCTGGGTGTGAGACCAGTTTCTATTCAGGAAAATAACTCAGCTAGACTAAATACACCCCAGCTTATCTTTTGTTCATAGTTTGATTTACATTGGAAAAAACTTTTGTTTACTTTTCTGATGGAAGCTGAAGAAAAGGCTATAATTAGGTACAGATGAGTCTTATCAAGTTTGGACTCATTGCGAAAGTGCCTGGTTTGGAAGAACAATATGCAAACTAGGTCTAAGGCAGGGCCATGATTTATAATGTGCCTGTAATTTCATAAGCACCGAGGCAGCTGGAAACCATCAGCATCCTTCTTCACAAATAGCTCATGTTTATTCTACATCCAGTCAGTATTATTGAGATAAAGGAGCTGTTCCATTAATTAGTGGTCCACTCTACAAGTAGAGGACTGATTTTGTAAAGAGAGATACGGTTCTGTAAAATCAAAAGAAATCAACGTATTTATCTAACATTTTATTATTGGACCATACTGGCTTCCATGTTGTCAAGCATTATGTTAACGAACTCTTTGTTTTATTCACAGTAAAAATTTGATTTAACTATCCAATGGTGGGCTGCCACTCTATGAATGAATGTGTGTCCAGAGAGTCCTCAACTTACAACAATTCATTTAATGACCATTTGAAATTATAACGGCACTGAAAAAAGTGACGAATGATCTTTTTTCACAATTATGACCGTTGCAGCATCCCCATGGTCATGGGGTTTACATTCAGATGCTTAACAACTGGTTCATATTTATGACAGCTGCAGTGTCTCAGAATTGTGTGATCACCTTTTGTGATTTTCCGACAAGCAAAGTCAATGGGAAAGCCAGATTCACTTAACAACAGTGTTACTAATTTAAGAACTGCAGTGATTGACTTAACCAGTGTGACAAGAAAAGTCATAAAATGGGGCAAAACTTACTTAACAAATTTCTCACTTAGCAACATAAGTTTCATTACCAAACTAGGTAACATTTGTGGTCATAAGTTGAGGACTACCTGTACTTCAGATGCCTAATTTAAAATATAAATTCATACCTGCTACCAAAGATCCAGAACAGATAAAGAGGATGATGAGAGAGAGATAAAGAAATAATACCAATAGAAGAGAATATTTTGTAGCTCCGGATTGAATTATGGGGTCCTTGGTGATCTCTGAGCTTGATTGCTTTCTATCAGGCATTTCATTACCAAACTAGGTAATATCATCAGTGAGCACTGATGATGTTAACTAATTTGGTAATGAAATGTCTGCAGGAAGATAACCAAGCTCAGAGAGCATCAAGGACTCCGCAGATAGTTGATAGATAGGTGACTATTCTCCCATAGAAGTCCTAATGGGCTTGACTAATATATAGTAAAAACAAGTATGCTATTCTTTATTCACATGGTTCACATCATAAATATGCAGCTTTAAATATGGGTATGTCTGCTATCTGGGAAAAGTAAAGAGCTTAAGAGAGCTGGCACAATAATCTCCTTTTTTTTGTTCTTCATTATGTAGGCTGGCAATTCTGCTTTGTCCCTGGCTTTGAAATCTGCCCACATGGAAATAGTAGAATTCCTACGGACCCACATACATCATACTCAATCTCTGAATACATAAAAGGAAATGGAAAAAACTGTATTTGATTGAATGAGAAATTCACAACAAAAGACCTATTGTATTAGCCAACTCTGTAACCACTTTATATGCCAATGATTTAGCTGATAACTACCGATGTATTTACTTATATAAAAAAAGGAATTATGGCAATTTGTTTGCATACATTCCTCATAAATGAATCTCTCTTCTAAGCTGCTTTTTTACTCCTAACCTGTGACCACTGAAACAAATGAGAATTAGATTATTGCATTGCCTTTGTATTAATAATTACCCCCCCCCAAATTGTTGCCTCCTTCAGGGGGAGATGTCAGCCTATTTTTTCATTTTTCAAATGTGAAAAACATTAAGAAGTTACCTGTGAAAAGCACTAATTATTTGTTGACTCTGAATATATGACTTCAGTTGCCTAGAATGATGGCAACCTGTTTATAAGGATAAAGTGCTTCCAAAAATTTTATGAACACACCAAAGCTATTCAGTGAAGATATTGGTAAGATATTAGCCTATTTTGACAGTTTATTTGGATAATCTGATCCTAGATCAGTTTATATGAATTATCAGGGTACCATAATCTAGTAAAGCAGATAAACTGATTATAGTCTTCCTGCAAGGTCACTCCTCTTGATTCTCTTATTGGCTTCAGCTTGAGGCTACCAAAGTTTACTTAGTTCCAGAAATCAATTTATTGTTGTGGAAAGGAATCGGTTAAGTGCCATATCTCGTTTTCACTAGAGAAGGGACTACTTAAGGAAATAGTTTGGGCCTGATCGCAGTGCTGACCAGAGGATTTTTATTAGTATAAATTGCATTGAAATTGTTATCCCTGAAAATCTCCTAGATCAGGGGTCCCCAAATCCCGAGCAGTGGCCTGTTTGGAACTGGGCCGTACAAGGGTGGGTGAGCGCATGTGCACACGAAACTCCATTTGTGTGAGCAGCACATGTGAGCTCACCCGCCGCTTGTGTGGAATCATCCCTGCCCCCCACTGCTGTCACTACCACTGCCAGTCCACAAAGCCGGAAAGGTTGGTAACCACTGACGTAGATGTCTTGAGACACTATCCTTTAAAAAGCTTGTATAATGTTCCCATTTTGTACAAATTTAGAAAGTGGAGCTGGTCTCACAAGAAAACTATTGTGAAAATAGTACTCTGGATCTAGTGGTGAGATCTAGCCCTTCCTTGTCTTCCATATTCCGTATACCTAGCTTTACAGAGGATAATGTGAAATTTTGGTCTGTTTTTTGCCACCCTTACCAGAAACCATTATCTACTAGCATGGGCAGAAAAGCATATCATGATAGCCAAGCATTCCTAAAATTAGGAATTTTATTTTTAGGAATGCTATGTTTTCATGCTATGCTTTTCTGCCCATGCTAATAGCTAATGATTTCTGGGAAGGGTGACAAAGAACAGATCAAATTTCACATTATCCACTGCAAAGCTAAGCACAACCAGGCAGATAAATAAGAAGACATGGAATTAAAATGTAGACCCTCATAGTGAGTTCCTACAGTCCCAGAAAAATCAATTTATTGAATTAGCTGAGAATAGTGATCCTGCTTTTAAAATGAATGTCTAGTACTTTGCTCCTATGGCAGATGACGTTTCCAATTTAGCTATAAGCACAGTAGTAAAGCAATACTTATAAAATAGATAATGCATGCTATTTTTTTAACCAGCTGTTTCAAAGCAAAATTCAGTTAATTTGTAAGTTGTGCTATTTATTAGTATTATTTTGGTAGGTACCAGTGATCAGTCCTTTCTCAGTACGCAGTAAATATAGATTAAGATATCCTTTACATATTAATCCAATTGACTTGACATATATGGCTGTAAGAACAAGCATTCAAAACTCAGTATATCAGACAGGGTCCGGAAAAAGGTAGATTGGAATCTACTATTAAACCCTAGCAGATCACCAGGTCAATGATTCCAAATGATGTAATCAAAATGAGACTAAATGCTTCTTCTCAAATTAGGGGATTAATATTAAAAAATAAATACGAAGAAACAGGAGTGAAGTTGTGTACAAACTCTAGTTTTGACATTAAAAAGAAATGCATGGGTTCATTTAAATCGAATTGAGCTTAGCTTGTAACAAAAATGTAAGTCCGTATGAATAGCAATAGCCTGCCTATTTTGTATTTAGAAAAATGAATGTATTCAATCCAAATGCACACATTATTTCTTATATATTAAAAAGCACAACGACTTTGTTTTCTGTCTGTTTGGAATGATTACATATGCAGCACTTTTATATCATGTCATTTGTATCTGATCAGCCACTCAAAATGAACTATATTTTTTTCTGGAGGCTTGAGAATGGTACTTTGATACAAGTACTGCTTTTTCTTTTGGGATTTATTTTTTGGTAAGTGAAGCACAAAGAGCAAATTAATTTAAACTTCCTTGCAAGGATGATTATTGTTTGAGATATTTTCATCATTGGGTTTTGTAGTCTTTCTCATTATGGCTTCATGTGAAAGGTGTTTTTGGGCAAACATCTGCTCCTTGGTTTCACTAAGCAAAACTCTTGGAAACCCCAAATTTGGGGAAATGAAATGTGATGTGATCATTTAGCTGCTGTCTGATTCCATTTACTAAGCAGCCCACCCAGAGAATAGCTAAAATGTACAGGCAGTCCTTGACTTATAACCATTTGTTTAGTGCAGTGGTTCTCAACTTTTTTAATGCCGTGACCCCCAACCGGCCGTAAGTCGAGGACTAAACCGGTCGTAAGTCGAGGACTAAACCGGTCGTAAGTTGAGGACTAAACCAGTCATAAGTCGAGGACTACCCAACCGGTCGTAAGTCGAGGACTTTCCCTGCCCGGGAGCACCGCGCATGCGTGGCCAAGGCGTAGCTGGCAAGCGGCAGAGACGGAGCAGGCCGACCACCAGCTGGCCCAGCCCAAGGGAGGTAAGGCACCCGCTGGAAAAGGGAAAAAAAATGGCGGACAGCCTTGCTTGGCGACCCCCGTGAAATGGTTGATCGACCCCAAATGGGGTCGTGACCCATAGGTTGAGAACCGCTGGTTTAGTGACTGTTCAAAGTTACAACGGCACTGAAAAAACTGACTTATGATTGGTTTTCACACGACCATTGCAATGTCTCTATGGTCACATCTGAAGGCTTAGCAACTGGCTGATATTTATGATGGTTGCAATGTTCCAGAGTCAGGTGATTTACCTTTTGTGACTTTTGGACGAGCCAAGACAACGGGGAAGCTAGATTCACTTTATAGCTGTGTTACTACCGTAACTTAACAACCCCAGTGATTCACTTAGCAGCTATGGCAAAAAGGGTCATTAAATGGGACAACACTCCCTCAGCTTAATAAATTTTGGACTCGGCTGTGGTTGTAAGTCAAGGGCTTCTTGAAATCATTGCAGTGAATATGAGACAGACTTTCCTTGATAGTTCACACAATAACTTTCAAACATACATTCCATAGTCTTAAAACTATGCAGGCAGTTTCTCAGCCCCCACCCTCCCTGCCCCATGGATCACTTAAAGTTCAGGGTGATGAAAAATAATATGCAGTATGTATACTCTTAGTGATTCCGTCTCGGATTTGGTCTGCAAATATAACATTTGAAATGACTTAATTTGCTATGCATGTATGTCATATCACCTTTGCTTAATTGGGGGAGGAGAGATAAGTTTGCTGTAATCTATTGTTTTCAGGCAAATAAACTGAACAGAAAAGCAATCATTTACTGGCAAATACGTTTTGAAAATCTGGTGTGTTTTAGAAACATGGTTGGGTGAAACATGGATGCTACTTCTCAAAGAAATAAATTACATGCTTTTCCAGGAACGTGCAAGACCTGGTGGCTGCAACACTGCAAGAAGCATGGGAGATTCCTTTTATAAGGAAAACCTAATGAAAATGGTTGTGCAACACCTTAGAAATAATTTGGAAAAGATAACATAATGTGCCCAAGAAGCACATACGTTTAACTTTGTCTTTTGCTATTTAAAGCAGCTACATCTTTTCCTAAGACACTCTTTGCCTGAGTTTCTTTCTGTAAGACATTGCTTTGTCTTCACCCTTATTTCTTACTCATTTGAATTTCATAAATAGAGCCACATTTTATTTGGACTTTGGAACTGTGGTCTGTTAAAATTACAATAGAGAGATCTACTTAGGATCAAGGTATATAATTCCAGGAAGTGATATTGATCAACCCAAGGTTCTCTGAATTTGAACATAACAAGGATCAAGGCTTAATGCAGCAACAGAGCTGAACCTAAGGAGAAAAGAAGTCTCAAATCTCTTCTCTGAGGAGTTACACTTCTAACTCTGCCACCCATCTTGATGCAATGGCTTGGTAGTTATCACTTCATAATCATAATTTTTGGAAGTGGTAGTCCGCTGCCACCTTCTTAAGGTTGAGAGAAAGTGACTAGCTTATGGTTATCCATGGCTTTTATGCCTAAAGCAGAACTTTCTCTGCCCCTAATCCATCACTTTAATCTTCAGATCAAATCGGCTCACCTTACTGGCAAATAAAAGAAGAAGAAAAAAGTCAAAATTGAAAGCACCACCTTGTATGGAGTTTTAGAGTGGTGACCAAAAGAATAAATAAAAAATCAACCCTTTCTCCTTTGAGAGATAGCTCAACTTCACACACAATGTGAGAACCCAATTTTATTAAAAAGAAAAAGGGAACATACTGCAGAATACCCTTTTAGGTTTAAGTAGTCTCATAGAAGGCATTCAGAGACCAAGGAGATAATACGCAAAGCTTCTCCGATCACAAGATTATTCTGGGGAGATCCTAAATGGCAGCACTCTGCCTTTAATTTGGAGAAATCCTATTGTAAAGGGGTTTCAAATTGCATAAAAACATAGAATTTCTTGTGCGTTTACAAGTGTAACTTTAATTCACAAAAGGCCTTCTGTTTTGATTACAAAATGGAAATTTCCGTGTAATGGGCTCTTAGAGAAAAGGTTGAAGAAGAAAGCAAACTAGTAAACAAGACCTTTCATATTTTAGTAATGTGACTCTAGTTCACATGCTTACTCAGAGCATCTCCAGCTTAAATCATATTTGAAAACCAATTCTATCTGAAATATTGAAAATGTCTCTCCTTTGACCTTTCTGTGCTACAACACTGTAACACAATTAAGACTTTTTCTTCAGCAGGGAGTCCCAACAAGACATCTGCGAACCTCATGGCAAGCTGCCATTTAAATTAGTCATACGGGTCTTCTGGCAGAATTGCTCTTTTACATTTTTTATGAGTATTCCATAATTGCATTCAGGGGAAAGTTTATAAAAAGCTTCAAGAATGCCAGGATTGATAAAAGTAGCCACAGACATTGAGAGGTAATCAGTGCAAAGCCCAGCTCTGAAAGCTGAAACAAACTAAATCAATCTGAAAAACCAGCACGGTTTTCAAAAGAAACATATCTTCTGTACTTGGAGTTTTTTTTAAAAAAAGTAGTGACCACAGCAGTGTAAAAAGTTCCTTTAAAATGTTATAACCCCTTACTAAGCTGCTGTTGTTAAAAATAAACTAGAGATACAACTTACAGCCATTCGTTTGGTGACCATTCAGAGTTACAATGGCACTGAAAAAAATGACTTATGAATGTTTTTTCACACTTACGACCATTGAAGCATCCCCATTGTCACGTGATCAAATTTTGGACACTTGGCAACTGGCATGTACTTATGCCGGTTGCAGTGGTCAGGTGATCACGTTTTTCAACCTTCTGACAAGCAAAGTTAATGGAGAGGTCAGATTCGCTTCTCAACCGTGCTACTAATTTAACAAGTGCAGTGATTCACTTAGCAACCACGGCTAGAAAGGTCATAAAATGGGG